ATTGATTATTTTTAATTTGATTTTTCTTGATAAAATTTGGATTAATCAAATACTAATAGACTAGTTTATTTTGGTAATTGATAGTAGTAATTCCCTTGGGTTCGACATCTGTATACTTACACTTTATTACTTGCACGATTTTGTACACTTGCAAAAATCACAACACCTGCTCAGCATCATGTGGCACAGGAATGGAGCTAACTTCATCCTCTTCCCTGGGACGTCGGGAAGGCCTGACCCCAGCAGTGACGGAACTCCCGCATTTGCTCCAACCACCCAGTCTCGCTACCACGATTGTCATTCCCACCCGAAACCATTTGCACAAACCTTGCTTCTCAAATCAACGCTACACAAAACCAAAGAAATCCCAGGAAATAGATACACAAACGCAAGTGAGGGGGCAATAACCATTCGACATTCCCAATGCCTTATAATGATTGGAAGCATAGTGGATACACCTCTGCCCAAGTGCCATCAACTCCCACATTCAAAAAGATGGAACCTTATATTTGACAAGGCACTACACAGAAGTGATGTGACAGCTCATAATTCGTGCCCAATGAAAAGTCGCATTCATCAAACATACCGCACCAAATACATTGGATAAGTTTTTGAAGCCTGAGTTTGCCCTCCAAAAACTAGGGGGTTAATGATCAAATGTGATGTCATGCAGGTATTTAGCGACATGACCTGGGTGCGATCTGAATGAAGTTTGTGTAAAAAATTCTTAGAATCTGGAACGACATGCAAGGTAGAACAACATTTAAAGCTCGCAATTCAACTCTCGGTTCAATAATTTTGAGCAATCAACAATTTCAAGAGAAGAATGATACTTTACAACCTAGAGCATGCAGAACATTCAAAATAAAAAAAACACGCGAGAACAACAAAGTTACACAAAGAATCAACAATAAGTGTATATATATGTATAAAAAGGGGGCCATTAGGTCGATTCATACAAGACAATTCGCAACAAAGAAAGGAATACAAATACAAAAGAACGATATACAACAAATTTCAACAAATTCTAGGATTCACCCTCACACCCTCAGTATTTGCAACAGATCTTGAGGCCTCTATGCATTCCATGACCCTACAAGAGAAGAATCTTCGATGAAAATACCGCCAAAGTGATCCATGGGAGACTTCAGAAGCAACGTCCAAGAAAAGAGAAGCTCAGTGGACTTACCAGGAGTTCCACGTAAGCCCGCCGCCTGACCTAGGGTCTGTTGGAAGCAGACCCAAAGGAAATGGAAATGAAGCAACAGAAACTCCACAAGACGTTACCATAGAATAAGCCGCTAAACAAACCTCCTAAGGTCCGGCATAAGACATGGGACCTGCCAAGATTTCTCCAAGACGTAAAGTGATGGGAGGAGAGGCCAAGATGAGGGGAGGGGAATGGAAAAGGACAGCCCCGCGTTTACCTAGCTCACTAGAAGAGCCTCCTTGAAAAAGGAATGGAACAATTCCTAGATGAAGAGGGCACATTCGCACAGCTAGTCGGGAATCTCACGGACAAGAATGTACCAATTGACATTTGGGCAGATATTAACCCTCAATTATAGAGGGAAAGTATAGAAAGTTGACCGTCTAGGTGGACACTAATCCTCGTGGGAAGAGATGGAATCCTTTGGACTCTGCTTCCCAATGTGCCGCAACAAGTCGAGCCAACCTCACGTTCTCTGTGATCAGCCTAATGAGTTCCTCCCAAAGGAAGGCGGTGTGCTTGTTCTTGTCATGAAAAACACGACGCAAATCATCCAACTCTTTTCGGTGACTAGCGTGTGCTAAAGTTGCAACATTCCTTAACTGTGCAAACTCCTTCTCTGCCCTCCGAAGCTGTTCGNCTGCATGGGAGTGCTTCTCCTTTTAGTAACTTTAGATGTATTGTAGTTTAATGTTAATCCTTTGTTTAATGGCTCAGCTTTTGTAATGAAGTAGTTAGCCTTTTATGTGGCTTAGCTGAGATTAAGGAAAAGTGGTCTGCTGGTTGTTGAAATAGTAATTGAAGTATGTTATATGCAGTTTTTGTCTAATGAAAAAGTGTGTCCAGTTTTTAGTTTTCATCTCTCTTCTTCTTTGAATAACCAGCATCACAAAAACGAACACTCACGTTCTCAGCGATTAGCCCAATGAGTTCCTCCCAAGGAAGGTGGTGTGCTTGTTCTTGTCATGAAGAACACAACGCAAATCATCCAACTCTTTTCGGTGACTAGCGTGTGCTGAAGTTGCAACATTCCTTAACTGTGCAAACTCCTTCTCTGCCCTCCGAAGCTGTTCGGAAAGTGTGGCCTGACTCTAAAGATCAGGAATCACACTCGAAGTCCTACCCTAGTCAAGGTGAACCAGTTAGGATTGACCTCCCCACCGCGATCCGAAAAAATGGTAGGAAGGAACCTGCCGTTACCTCTTTCCCTCTCGTCGCAAGCATGAGAATTGTTTATGAAAGACATCTACATAAAAAGTAAACGCGGTCAGCAAAGTTACAAAAGCGCAAATAGCAACAACAAAAACAAAAAAAAACGACATGCCAACCTTGGTGAGTAATTTCAAAAACCTTAGGAAAAGCCGTCAAGCAGGGAGAACAACAAATATTTTGCCTAAGGAAGAAGTGAATGGTGAGGATGATTACTCTAGTAATAGCCACCATATTTATAGACAGACTGTAAAGCCAATTGTCCACTATCATCATTATCGTCGTTTCCTAACACCTATAGAACAGGTACGGGCTCTGCTTTGTTCTTCCAACTGTTGTCATTCCCAAGGAACCGGAATGCCTAGGGAAAGGAGACCAACACACAACCATTCATTATGCCATCAAAGTTACAACGAGAAGACAGTTGTTATGACTTATCAAGGCAGGAGAAAAGACATCAAGCATGACATGTCGCACGGATTAATTGGCAAAGGAGTTATAGCTCGCGGAGCTAGCAAGCATCAAAACTCATGCTCCCATATGACGCTCCAAATCACTGAAGAAAAGTTTTCAAAGTCTGAAACGCACTTCAAAAACGAGGGGGTAATGTTATGCCCAATTTTCAAATAGTCAGATTTGTGTCGTGTGTCCCTAGAGTACATCAAAGCTCGACGATCAGGATCCTCCCACATGTCACCCTGTTGCGCTTGACTTTCACCATTAGGTGATTATTGCATAATTATGGGTTAAACTGCCATTTCCATGGCCTGGACTACCACAAGCATGGGTTATATTGACTCTGATCCTAATTTGGAGGATTATGCATGCAAGCTACCCTGTAACACCCACTCAACCACTGTCAGATGAGATGGATATAAAAGGAGCCTACAGCCTCCGTTTCAAGGGACAATTCCAGTGGTAGTAAAGTTTAGGAGATAAACAATTTGATATTTTTAGAGAGAGTTAGACATAATAGGTCCCCAGAGCCAAGTCTTGCAGTCATTCTTTTGTAACCTCATTACGAGGGGTGTTTGGTTCCGAGTACCCTGCACTTTTTGAAGGAACCGGAACCAACTGTTCCTTGAAATTTGGAACCAGAACTGGAATCGACGGTTCCGGTTCCTAGGTACCAAGAACCAGAACCTGTAACAACGGTTCTGGTTCTGGTTCTGGGTACCCTGTAAAATTTATGACCCCCCAAAAGTTTTTAAAATAGCAAAAATACCCTTAAAAACTTACAAATACCCCCCCACCTGGCACTTGTTAACAAAAATAAAATTACAAATTATAAATTCAAAATTACAAACTCCATTACTTTGTAAAGGTAGATTCTCAAAAGTCAAACCAACTTACTTTAAATGTTATGAAATATAAATATAAATGTATTCACATTATTTTTTCTACAAAAGTTTTTATTAACCCCCCTAATATTTAATTTTATTTTATATTAGTCTCGGTTCCTGGGTTCCTGGTTCCGGTTCCGATTCCTAACTATAGGAACCAGAACCTGAACCGTACAGTAACGGTTCCAAAAATTTGGAACCGAAACCTACCCATTGATGATTGGTTTTGGGTAGGAACCGGAACCAAACTCAAGGTACCCGTCGGTTCCGGTTCCAACTGGTTTTTTTGAACACCCCTACTCATTAGACCCTGTAATACCCTGAAATAATAACATGATAGTGGATGTAGGTTTGGTTTTCATAACCGTTAAACCATTATAAAATTTCTCTTGTTTTTTACTTTGTTACATCACTTTGGTGACCTTGCTGGTTATCCATAATCACGTGCACATCTTGTCTGGTCTCCTCTAGGACTGGCCAGGTATCTCTAGTTGGTACGAATTATCACATCAACAATATCTTATGTTTCTGTCGATTGGAAAACAAAAGAAAACCTGGAGCTATCTAAAATTTATTTATTTCAATTTAGTCCTCTATTTCATGATTTATTTTAATTTGATCTTCTATTTTTTTAATTAAATATTACATGTGTCAAATTATGAGTGGTTGGAGTACCAACTCCTCCTAAGAAAAATCTTTTGTATAGTTTTAATTTGACATGAGAATAGTTAAAAGTATAATTGATTAAAATATTATTTTCAGCAACAATAGGAATAAAGTACTTTTTCCAGATATGAACTATGAACAGATTATTATTTTTATTAGAATTAAATGAATCGATACTAATTCCTATTATTTTAGATACCACGAAAGAAAATCCTAGAAACCTTATAGGAGAGATAATAATTAAAAAAAAAATTACAACAATCTAAACATTAGGACATAATTAAAATTGAGTTATGCTAACAAAATATTTAGTGTCTCTTTTATGTTGAAATAAGATATTATTCCCTCTTGACTTTTTCTGTTGTTTATTCTCCAATGGTTCATATTACTTGGTCGCTTTTGAAAGAATTTTTAATAGATAATAGGCTTTGGTTTAATTAAACAAATTAGGCCGGCAATGTTTGACCTAATTGCATTGGTGGGATTCCCTCTTATCTCCACTGACATAAACAGTTATTTTGTTTTTTCTAGTACTGTGTTATTATTGTCTCTTTATTTTCTCGTTTCTCAAGTAGGTAGAAGTGAAATTAATGGAGTCCCCGAAGGTTCATGCTGTTTGCATACCTCTTCCAGCTCAAGGTCACATTAATCCTATGCTAAAACTAGCAAAACTCCTTCATCTCAAAGGCTTTCATATCACTTTCGTCCACACTGAATTCAACCTCCATCGTTTGCTCAACTCTAGAGGTCCAAATTCTCTCAAGGGCTTACCCGATTTCCGGTTTGAAACAATTTCAGATGGGTTGCCATCAACAAATCCGCGAGGTATTTTGAACCTCCCAGACTTATGCATAACGATGCCAACTCACGGGCTACGTTCGTTTCGAGACCTTATAACAAAGCTCAATTCTTCCACCGATGCGCCCCCTGTCAGTTGCATAATCGCTGATGGTGTCATGAGTTTCACTTTAGAGGCTGCACAAGAATTTGGCATCCCTGAGATGATTCTCTTTACACCTAGTGGGTGTGGCATGTTGGGTTATCTTCACTTTGAAGAGCTCAAGAATAGAGGCTATTTTCCTTTAAAAGGTATTTTAATTAGCACTTCTTATTTCTCTTCATTCTAAATAGTAGAATTAATTGGGATGAAAAAGATAGATTTGTAACAATATATAGTACCACTAGAAACACCGACTACGGCGACGCAGAACTAACGCTGGCATAGCCAATTTCTTTGTCGCCTTTTATATATACTTTGGCGCAATAATAAATATAACGTAAAATAACTGTATTGTGCCGGAGAAAATGTCGGACAAAGCCAATACCCCGACACAAGTGACATTGGGGTTTAGAATTCATATGCCAGCACCGTTCATATCGTCACCGTATATCAATTAATCCATATTCCTATTAGTAATACCTCTACCTCAACGCCGATAGAGTTGGGGTAGTGTAATAGTATCTTGACGCCATAATGGCATCAGGCGTATTGCACTTCACCAGTGCTCAGATTCTGGCGTCGGTCCAGTCAGGTTTTTCTAGTAGTGTAAGTTGTTATTGTTGTTCTAGGACATGAAGAAATTGATAGTTGTTTCAACATATGCAGATGAGAGTTGCTTAACCAATGGATATCTTGACACTGTCATTGACTGGATTCCTGCTATGGCCGGGGTTAGATTGAAAGATCTTCCGACTTTCATTCGAACCACGGATCCCAACGATACAATGTTCAACTACAACCTCGAATCAATAAACAATTCAATGAAAGCCAAGGGTCTAATCCTTAACACATTCGACGATCTGGAACAAGAATCTTTAGATGTTATCAAAACCAAATTCCTCCATCTTTACACCATTGGCCCACTGTCAATGCTACACCAACAACGTCTGGATACAAACCTGGAGCCAATTGAAGCAAATTTATGGAAAGAAGACTCGAAATGCTTAGAGTGGTTGGACAAAAAAGAAGCAAATTCTGTAGTTTATGTGAACTACGGAAGCCTAATAATAATGACGCCGGAACAACTGAGGGAGTTCGCTTGGGGACTTGCGAATAGTAACTACGAATTCTTGTGGGTGATTAGGCCTAATCTTGTTGATGCCGGAGAAGAGGTGATATCAAAAGAGTTCAAGGAGGCGACAAGGGATAGAGGTTTACTTGTGGAGTGGTGTGAACAAGAGAAAGTTCTTGGTCATCCATCAGTGGGAGGATTTTTGACGCATTGTGGATGGAATTCTACGTTGGAAAGCATTTGCGAGGGCGTGCCATTGATTTGTTGGCCATTTTTCGCTGAGCAGCAGACAAATTGTCACTATTCATGCAGCAAATGGGGAATTGGGATGGAGATTGATGGTGATGTGAAAAGGGAAAAAGTGGTGGAAATAGTGAGGCAGTTGATGGAGGGAGAGAAAGGAAAGGAGATGAGGAAAAGGGCTGGAGAGTGGAAAAAGAGAGCTCAAGTAGCCGTAAAACCAGGTGGTTCTTCTTATAATAACTGTGAAATGTTAGTTAAAGAGCTTCAATTTGCCGCCATTGGCTTGTAATTTTCAATCAATATAGATCATTATAGATCAGACTTGTTTGCCAATCTATCTTTATTCTAAATTATTTCATAATAGTTTTTTGTCAATCTATCTTTATTCTAAATTATTTCATAATGGACTGTATATATACATAATCTGAAAACTGCATATGGTTTTGATAACGAAATTATGATTGAAATGTTTTAAAAATAGGTGAAAAACAATTGTAAGTAAGAATTTTGATGCAAATTTTTACTCTTCTCCTTCAATTCACTTGATTTCACTTCTTTCCTTCTTTTCTCATTTTTTGTCCTTAATGTTTTTAGATTTATATATATTTTTTAATGGTGAATATTTTATTCATATGTATTTAATATTGCATATTTAAGGGAAGGAAAAAAAAAAACACTTTCTAACACTTAAATAGAAGGAATTGAAATTCAGAAAACTTCAATCACTCGAGTCGCCGGAGCCCAGTCGGTAGTTAGTTTTAATAATATGAGACGTTAAGTTCTAATTAATATCATCATGCTATACAGTATTAGAGTTAAGGCTGGCCAAAAAGCCCAACCAAGGCCCATCTCGCTGCTAGACCCGAATATGGCTAAAACTCCAAATTTTAGATAGATAAAATAATTATATTTATTAGTAAAAAAATATAATTAAACATTAAAGAGTTAGACCAAATTGGTAGGATGCCTTAAGCAAACTTTCTTAGGTATATAAAAGCATACACTTTCTTCTTTCAAATAATTTGATATATTTGCCTGTGTAGCTCTCAATTAGAAGTACATAAATTCTGTAAAGTGAAATTTAGGTACCTAAAATTTTACTAATTTTAAAACCAATCATCTGTTGAAAATTAGGTACAAACCGTAACTCAAATTTCGTTAATAAATTTAAAAGCCATCAAAGGTATGTATCTCTTGAAATTTCACAAATATTATTAAATGAATGAAATAAATAAATAAAAAAAGAGAAAAAAAAATTAAAACAATAATTGAAAGGGATATTATCAATGAATGTAGAGACTTTTTTTAGAGAACAAAAGTTCTAAATCCTTCAATTAATGGACAATAACAAGTTATTTAGTATTACACATAACTTTATATAGGATAAAGACGTAATTGAACAAGTTTAAACTATTCTTTTTATAAAATAAATAATCAACATTAGAAATTAAAAAATAAAAAAGATTTAAATTGTTCTTTTTTTATATAAAAAATCAAATTAAAAAAATAAAAAACAACAAAATTTTAAATTTTGTTTTAAGAAACTAAAAAAAGCTATTATTATTTTTCCTTTATTTTTTTATTTTTAATTTATTAAAAAAATTAATTTCCTTTAAAAAAATGCTTTGGTCTTTTTTTTTTAATAGTTATTTTAACATTTTTAAATTTAGAATTTAAGTACTAAATTAACTTCAAAAATAGAAAAAAGAAAAAAAGTCAAAGAGCATCATTTTTCACTTTTTGTAAAAGTTAACGGCAAATAATTTGTTGCTTTTATCCTCTTATATAAAAAATCTAAAAACTTTGTAGCCTAATTGATGATATTTCTAATTAAATTAGACTATTAGAGCATCTCCGAATTATTTTTTATATGACTCGTTTATTCATAAAAACAAGAGTTTAATAGACTTTTTATTCTTTAAATATAATTTAAAGAATGAGTTTAGCTATAGAGTTAAATTTCACTCTTTATATTAATTTTAAAAAATAAATTACAAGTTTCTATGTATTTTATTTATTATTTATCTCTCATATTAAGTTTTTTTTTTTTTTTTGAAAAAACATACTTTAAAGAGTTTATTAAATTTGAATAAACAATTTATTTTTATATTTAAAAATTAACAAAGATATTTTTTATTTATGTAAAAAATGTTTTTAAAATAAAAAGCAAAGGAACCACTTAGACTAAGAGATGAGTTGTAAGCTGGAAAAGTAGCCAACCGAAATTACTGGAAGATTTGAATGATGAGTCTTGTGTTTAAAGTGCAAAATTTGATATATGAATTTGGGAAGTCGACAATTACTTTTGAAAGAGAATATCATTTTCATCCTTGTGGTTTTGATGTATAATAAGGGGCAAAACAAGGGATGTAAATATGTCCGGCCCGGGTTGGGCTCACCCGAGCTTGTCCAGGGTATTTTTTGAAAATCCAAGCCCGTACCAAGGAAAGAGCCCATGTTTTATAAAATATTTTTTTTATTTACATAAAATAATTAAAATTATTAATAATAAAGAATTTGAAAATTATTAATTATAGATTCTGAAATCCATTAATAAATAATTTTATAAACGACTTTCGCTATGGAATTATATATGTAAGTAACGTTACACAAATTTAAAGACAATGGAAAGTGAAGTTGACTTACAGCCACCTAATTTTATGTACCTAAAAGTTTAACTGGAACGGAAGATGGGAGCTTCATCTTTTACTGTTCAACGCAGACCATTAAATGGGATAACTTTAGGTAAGGCAATCCATTCAAGCTAGTCCCGCTAAGCTAGCTAGTTATAGCCCGTAGTATAATATGCCAAGGATTGTTGCTTTTTCTCCCCTTGGCTCTTCCTTTTCTAAGATGTAGTAAGAAATAAATTGCTCAGAGATATTCTACGTATTTTATTTATTATTTATCTTTTCTATTAAGCTTTTTTAAAAAAATATATATATTCTCTCTCCTAAAATTTAATATTATATATATAAACTATTTATACAAATTATTTTTCACAAATTGATGTGGCAACCTGTATGTTTGCCATGTAATCTCTTTTTAATATTGTTTGTAGGAAATATTTTGTATAAATAGTTTACATATGTAGTTTGTATATATATCATTACTCTGTTTTAATATTGTTAAGACATGGAGTAAGAAGATATATGTAAGTATTTTGTTTTGTCAATTTATTCATTCGGATTAGCACAGAATCTATTTAGGTCCGGTTTAAAGGTGGTCACAATAGAATTGCAATGATCACAATACGTCTGTCAGATTTTGTTTTAGCATTCTTGCATATCGTACCTACATTAATTAAATTTGATTATATTTCTAGTTATGGAAAGTTTTATGTAGACGTTATATATTAATGTGAGCTAGAAAAGATTTTATTTCATTAAGATCTTAAGAATCATTTTCCTAAAAGAAGATTATGATTTCAAGAATCATTTTCTTAAAAGGAGATTATGATTTCAAAAATCCTTTTCTTAAAAGGAGATTATAAGTTCAAAGAATCATTTTCTTAAAAGAAGATTATGAATTTGAAAACCCTTTTCTAAGAAGACAAAACTAAAAAGGATTCCTTCTTGTTTCCCAATCCTTGTCACATGTATATATATTTTCATTTTATTATTGTGACTTTTCTAAGAAAACCAAATTATACCTCTACTCTCTCTAAACATTTTTATGAGGTTTTTTTAGTTCTTTAATGATGGTTTCCTTATGCTTTGGTAGCCTTAAATTTACCTTTGATTAACTTCTTGTTTTGCGTGAGTTTGTTTTTTGGAACGTTGTACCATGTTGATGATTGGACGTGTTCGAGCTAGCTTTGCCGAAGTAATCTTTCATCGTTGAAACTTGAGAGGAGCTCAAGTGTGACCAAGTGGTCTCGTGGAAGAGAAGCTAGCTTTGGTGGTTTGAGGTTCAACCAAAGAGCCAAGATTGAAGTGTTGTCTAAATAGGGAGTTTTACAACTGATACTTATTCTTGTCTTTGTAATTGAATAGATAATTATTTCATAATAGATTAGCTTTTTCTGGACTTGGTCCTATAGATGTAAGCAAGTTGTCAAACCATGTAAAGATAATTATGTTCTTTATTTTTTGTTGTGCATGATTTACACATGTTGATAATTCGTTAAACAACTTATTAAACACTTCTTAAACATGTCAGTACATTCCGCATAAGTTTTAATCAACATGATAATAGTTTAAAAGTTTTAATTGGTATCAAAGCATGTTATGAAGAGTTATTTTAGTAGATCCTTACTTATTTCAGGTGAATTCAAACCGGAATATGTCGTTTACTCTTTATGTAATGCGTTTTTCAAGTAAATTAACAATCAGTTAATAATCAATTAACAGTTTGTATTTGAAAAAGAATAAATTCTCAATTTCAAAACTTCTCATATATCATGATTTTAAAATCCTTTGGAACCAAATAAAGTTCAGAACTGCAGACATTAACTGTTTTTCTACTCAAAAGTTCCTCGCTCGAATTCACAACTGCAATAACTAATTTTACAGCCTAACAGTCACCACTTGAATGTCTTCTCAGGAACGTCTTATTCAACCGTTGATGTAATTATTGAATTTGACTCATGATTTTATCATTCTTAATAAATTTTCAAACCATGTAAAGAAAATGGAAACTGCAGTCGACTTACCGCCGACTAATTTTATGTACCTAAAAATTTAACTGGAACAGAAGATGGGAGCTTTATCTTTTACAGTTCACTGCAGACCTTGAGCAATCTTCGTAATCATATAAATGAGATAACTTTAGGTAAGATATTTTATGTATTTTATTTATTATTTATCTTTCTTTTTCTTTTTTTGAAAAAACATATTCTCTTTCCTAAAATTTAAATAATCTATTAGATTTAAATAAAAATTTTATTTTTTATATTTAAAAATTAATAAAGATTCTCTTTATTTATATGAAATATATTCTTTAAAATAAAAAGTAAACGAACCACTTAGACTAAGAGATGGGTTGTAAGCTGGAAAAGTACCAAACCAAAAGGACCAGAAGTTTGAATGATGAATCTCGTGTTTAAAGAGCAAAATTTGATACATGAAATTGGGAAGTCTGACAATTACTTTTGAAAGAGAATATCATTTTCATCCTTGTCGTTTCCGTGTACTATAATAAGGGGCAAAACAAGGGATGTAAATACGTCCGGCCCGGGTTGGGCTCACCCAAGCTTGTCCAGGGTTTTTTTTTTTTTTAAATCCAAACCCGCACCAAGGAAAGAGCCCATGTTTTATAAAATATTTTTTTTATTTACAGAAAATAATT